GGATCAAAACACTGGTTCAAACACCCTAAAATTTTGCAATTTTAATGCATTCTCATTATGTATATGTTTGATTGTACCTAAATTTGAACTAAAAATTTGAAGTATCTTTTAACGGGCTTTTATTAGTCAATAGTGGTGGGCTGATCCTGAGACTGGTGATTTCTAGGAGCATGGAAATTTAATTGTTGAATTGACTTTTTTGCATACTCAYGACATAATTTCTGATGTTATCAAGAGTCTCTGATACCTGGAGTCTGAACTGTTTCAGGTGCTACTGGTGCAATTAGAAACAAAGAACACCAAACAAGGAAACAGGGTCACTGGAGAGCCCTGCTCCACTGGCACAGCCTGCATTTTAGCTGTAAATATTTTAATGGCATTTATTGGCTCATATTCTTCAAATGTAGTATACCGCATCATTAATTTTGTAGTTTCATCTCTGAAAGCTATAAATCGAGCATTCCTATTGTCTTAATTTTCTGTAACCTTTAATAACATTTGTGCAAGAGCATGGGAAAGATGAAATTGCCATCGACTGTATTACAAATGCATTCTAGAAATGTTCCCCAGAGCCTCCACACTCTCTCTCCCACCCCATTACAAAGCCAGCATGTTTTAGACATCCATCGGAAATCCATTGTTTAAATTCAGGGAAATAAGCTCCAGGGCTTRGATATCAGTTTGGATCTTCCAAAGAGGACCTTTGTCTGGCCTTCCCCATCTGTCGCAGGCAGCCTTCTCGTTTTCAGATATGGAATTCCCAACCACCAGTCACAGGTCCGAGCTTTTGGATAACACCAGGTAAGAATGGGTTTGAAAAGCATTTATCCTTGAATGAGTTCTTTAACTTATCTGGCCATTCACCTGACATCTGTAGTCACCAGCATGATGAGTCCTCCCCAGAAAAGTGACCGATGGAGCTGGTGAGCCCAGGAGGCCACACCTCGTTCACAGGTTATGGAAGGACCAAGGTGCAGTGCCCCAGCCCCAACCACACTGTGAACCATCTGGTTATACTGCTATGTATATCTGACATACCATTATCATGTTTTAAATCAGGTCATGAAACATATTTTCATAATATTACATATGTTATTATATATATATATATATATATATATATATAGTGGCTATCTTATTTAACCCAGTCAAGGTCAGGCTCCATGTGAAGGGGCATGGATTCATTGTTTGTAATTTTCATGCCAAACCTCATAAAATATTATTGTACACATTTTATATAAATGAGAAAAATTGAAGATCAGAGAAATTAGCAATTTGCTAAAGGTCAYATGGCATCTCTCCTGGTTCCACAGTGTTCTCTGTATGTCTCAGTACAAGTCACATCTTAGACTTATCAGCTGTTGYAGTTTTAACCATAGCTTATTTATAGTTTGTAAAAATGCTACTTGCAAATAAAAATATGAAGCCACCCCCTTTGCTGGAGCAGAGATAATCTTTTGGGGCTGGGTGTAAGTTTTAACGCCTTCAACAGTGTAGACGGAGCATGAACGGATGCTCCAAGCACTACCCGTCCCCCTACCCAACTTTATCCTTGATGGCCCCCRGGCCAGACTACAGTGTGGCTCTCCTCACTGTGAGCACCTGCAAGAGGGGTGCCCAGTTCCCTGACTCCTCAGAGAAAGCTCATTCAACATCACAAGAGGCCGGACAGAAAAGCTAGACTGGAGTTTGCACCTCAAGGGGACACACACAGGGGCAGCGTCACTATATTGGAAAGGAAATCTTCTCTCATTCTTTCTTTCTGTCATTTATATATGCTCTCATTCAAAAAAGGATKTTGTGGCAAGACTTAAAAGAAATACATTTGAATCTGAGTTTAACAAGATATTGATTTACATAAAAGACAAGTAGAGAAAGAGGAGAAAGAAATGTGGGAAATCATTCTCACATACATGGGAAATTAGGGTAAGCTTATCTAATGCTACATACTGTAAATATCTAATATAGATTTAATTGTAAATACTTATATATTCCAGTAAAGACATCTGCTTAAATAAAGTAAGTATTATGGTTCTGTGAATATGGATAGCATATCTATAATCATGAAGCAGGATTTATTAAAATACTATTAAAGCTAAATCATTTTTTCTAGTAAAAATACTACTGTAATTGTAAATGGAAATCTTGTGATAAGCTGCTTCTGGCAGAACCGGATCTAGGATAAGAGAACCACTTTGAAGAAGTGCTTTAAGTTTTTCCAGCTAGAATATTCCAATTTTGTAATAGGACCCTCTGAAAATATAGAAAACCACATCGTGGCTTTGTAGTGACAGGTTTGTTAGAGGAGGAGAAAATGAAGCTGAAGCTAATGTCACCCCCCCCCCTCAAATATCAGGAAAATATCAGGCAAGAAAATGGCTTGAATGTAGAAACCCTGATGCAGACATTGAGAAATGTTCCAGAAGATGGCTGTGTTGACACCAGCAAAGGACTGGTATAAACTGCAAATTCCCCACAGTGATAAACTCTCAACGGTGTATTTCTGAAGCCAACCACTTCCTTTGTTAAGCATATGAACATTTGTGAGTGACAGAGTCAAAGAAAAACTGTAATGAGAAGCAGTAGGAACCAATAGCTTTGTTTGACAGTGGAGAGCTCTCAGCCAGGGTGTCTGTCTCTGTGGGTTTCCTGGAGGATGTGGGGAGATTCTCATTGTCTTTTGAGCATCACTCTATGTGTTTCTTCTTTTATACAAGGATGCCAAATGAGGCCTAGATTCTAGTTCCAGGTTTCACTGTGGAGCAAGAGCACTGACACCCTGCTGTCGTGGCCACCCACCCCGTACACCTAAGCAAGGGAGAGAGATGTGCAGAGTCTCCTCTCCCATGAGGGTCAGGAGCAGAGGCACACCAGCCAGCTTTCTGTCAATGTGACCAAAATACCTGCATGGACAACTTAAAGGAAGAAAGATTCATTTGGCTCCTGGTTTCAGAGCCCAGTCGGTCCCTGTCTGCCTGGGTAGGTTGTTTGGGGCCTGAGATGAGGCAGTACCTCACGGCAGAAGGGCATGGTGGAAGAAGGCTGCTCAGCTCACGGTAGCCACGGAGAGAAAGAGAAATGGGGTGGGGGAAGTGAGGGACAGAGGCTGATATAGTCCCCAAGGGCATACCCCAGGGACCTTCTTCCTCCAACTATGCCCCACTGCCTATAGTTTCCATCACTTCCAACCAGTCAATTCAGTTATCAATGGATTAATCCTTCAGTGAAGTCAGAGCCCTGGCCACCCAGGTACTCCCCCACAGTCCCACCTGTGACCTGGCGCACTGGGGACCCGACCTTTAACACATGAGACCTTAGGGGACACTCCATATCCAAACCATGGCACGAGACAAAGTTCACACTGGAGAAAAGCTAGAGAGGAAGTTTTATAACAAAACAATGGAAACAGTAGCGATACATATATTACATATTTCTGTGAGGATTATTGAGGAAAATCTGTGAATCACACAATTCAAAAATATCAACGAAGACTTTTAGGGGTGGCTGTTCCTAATTCTTTAATAACTCCATTCTTTCTCTCATCTCCTCTCTATGACATCTTTAGTGATAGCTGAACACAACTGACCCTGGGCAGGTGGAGTCACTCTGTAACTTCATGGATACTGCTTGCGACTGTTCCAGTAAAAATGAGAATTGCAAATTAAGAATATGTAATAACAGGATATGTATTTTCCATAAAGTAGGAATGCTATTACAAAAGTGTCGAGCTTGGACAGTAAGAGACTCAATGACTAAAACTCAGTTTTTACTTTTCTCAAAGAGTAGCCATCTTGCCCCAATTCCTACTTGACCACAGCTTTTCAGATAATAGGGGATGGATGTCAATTCACTCCCATACACAATTTTGAACTTCAAGATCCCACTGAAGTCCTTTTTACTAGTATAATATTAAATGATATTTCAATAGTCCCACTATTAAAAGACAGCTAAATAGAATTTCTGAGAATTCCATGATTCCCTGAATAGTCTATGCTCAAAGCCAATTTCATAATAATATAAAACACAGTGATTCCAAATAAAGGTTATTTTTGTTTGTGGGAGAGCTGCCTCCACTCTGCTTTTATTTTATTTATTTCCTTGTATGTACAATGAGCAGATCATGTTGTAAAATTCTCATGCAGTGAAACACTAAATTAAAAAATTATTCCCATGACTGTCAGGAATAAATTCTGCATGCTGACTTATGTACTTAGAAGTTAAATACATAACTTCTAAGTGAGCAGCAGAAAAGAAAATTAGATTCACATTGTTTCAGGAGGATCACACTGTCAACGAACAGATTGACATTTGCTGCCTGTCAAGAGATCACCAAAACTTGTTGATATCGTTATAGGATAAAGYAGACTATCTGAGCTCAGAGATAATCACAAAGCTCAGAGTGTCATATTTTAAAAATGGATCTATGTATATGTCTTAACCAGCACTCATATCCACTAAGTAACTACAAATTATTAATGACAAATTATTAAATAATTAGTAAAACAAAATAAGAAAAAWTATTTTTCTATATTATTTTTAAAAATAGAAGAACATTTATTGAATGCTCCAAGCCCACTGCCATATTTTAGCAATGTTTAAAAAAAATTCATCCTAAATTGATTTTAAAAAAACAACAAAACACTACTGAAAGCTTAATAGGAAGCATCTAAAGGAGGAATTACTATTAAATATTAAGAAAAGCAACAAATTCAAAGCCTATTAATAGGTTCAAAAACTGTTTTATAAACTTTACAATTTAATTATTGAACACTCACAGAAGAGCCTTGCTGCTGTGTGTTCCAGGAGTAACAAGTGACATTGGCAACTGCCATTTCCTTAGGGAGCAGGAGGCCGGCGGGAGTACACTATTTACATCTCTGAACAGATAGATCATTGTCCCTAGGTAACGGTAAATCCTAAATGTGTGGCTGGGAGCTCTGCTTTGAACCCCTCCCCTCTCCTCCAGGCTCACAGGCCATTTGACCTGTGGGACAACTCACCATTCATGTTCTTAAAGATGTTCAGGATGGGGAGGATCTGACGGTAGTAGGGCACCAAAGCCTCGCCCACCATCTCCGCTGACACAACCAGATGCTGGAGGACTTTGAGCGTGACACAGATGACCTGCCGGTTTCTGAGGTTCAAGGCATCTGGATGGTAGGAAAAAGAACAAGTAGGAAACACGGAACATGAATTCTAGTGTTGAGTGAAGCTGCCTCATGGACGTGTTGAATTAGACCATGTTCTATGGGGACCCCAGGTGGATCTTTATTATACAGCTGGAGGTGCACTGCAGCCCCAAAGTTGTGATAGCATCAGGTTTGATTGCTACTTAGTGTCCCAGCTTGCGTTGTTTCCTACCAACCCTAAGAATGCAGCTCATTCTCCTTTTGGGAAAGATACTGGGAGGGCATAGAGAGGATGTGAGAAGATCACTTAGTGTCATTGGATTTAAAAGACGCTGTGTGTGTTGACAACAGATATGTTTTATACGATGGTCTCTTCCAGCTAATAACCCAAGCTCTTCCTAAAGCCATACCTATACTGGGGAAGGAGGGCTGGGTGGGGCACATGCGTGGAGAAAGTAGAGACTGGCTTCCAACACTAAGAACATTCCTGGTAGAAGTGAAYGTAAGGGTCTATAGACAGGCTCCAGAAAGTCGGGAAGGAGAGCAAACATCTTAAGTGTTCAATTAGGAAAAAAACCAAAACAAAACAAAAAAAACAACAACAACAGTAATGAGTTAAAAGAGATCAAAGGATACAAGTGGTTTTTAAGAAGAATTCTGAGTGTGAAGTAACTGTACAGCAGAGAAAGACTGAGAGGCATAGGTGGCCTTGCACCAGGGGCTGGAGCTGCACCACCAGGTCCCTGGGGCTGGCTGGGTGAACTCAGCCCACTCACTGAGACTTTCTTGGCCCCAGTTTCCTCCATCATGGGAACCTCCTATTTGCTTTTGGATGACTAGATTAAAATGATTTAAATAGAAGGGTCATACAAAGCACCTGGTATAAAAGGTCAGAGGTGAGGATTCATAAAGTGTGGTGCTCCCGGGCTACTCCAAGAAGTCGAAGGCTCTTATTCTTAAGATGTTCTACCTTCTAATAAAAAGGATTGACTGTCATCTTAAAGCACATGTCATTTATGGAAGGACAAAAAACTTAGACTGTTAACAGGTTGAAGCTTTGGTCAATACACCTGTGGGAAAGTGCTGGCATTGTTCTCCAACTCCAGCCCACGTTTCCAACAGCCTCGATTTCCCAGCACCTCAAATCAGCGTGTTCTAAAGATGCATGTTCCTCTGTGGACATCCTCTTTTTGCCACGTTCCTCATGCTCAGTGGTGACACGACCTGCTCAGTTCTCAGACACTCAGGGTCAGACCCGTTTCTCATTCCTCWCGCCCATCGTGTTGCACAGTGATGTGGCTGTGCACTGCAGTGTCTGAAGCTCACATCTCCCTCCCCGTCCTCACAGCCATGCCTCTGGTCTGGGTCTCCATCCACCCTCCTTGCCATCCCTTGAGGGTCCTGGCTCTGGGGACCCCCTCCCTGGAGCACACGCGTGCCCTCTGGGTGGCTGTCTCTCTCCACTGTTGCTGAACTTCCCTTCCTGGGGCTAGGTGGTCATCCTACCACCTGCTCACAGAGCTCAGAGACCCCCACCCCATTTCCTAAAGAATAAGGGACAAACTAGCCAGGCCCTGGGGGAGGCACTCAGGGTAAGTTTGAATTAAACTCAATTCTTAGTTAAAAGTCCAAGAATACAAAGCCTCACTTAGTGGTTTCACAGGTATTTCCTGTAGAGTCACTAGGACATTTTTGAAAATAAAGCACAGGTCAACTTTTCCCCTTCTAGAAACAAACTAGGGATTGGGGCATGAGAATACTTCTGAGAAGCCCCGTAATTTCTGGTCCGGTCAAGGCTACATTCTTGTTTGGTTTGAAAGCAAACTCAAATGTAATGGAGAGAAGTCAGCCCCGGCTGGGGGAGCCCGCCCAGGTATAACTGCAGGGCTTGAAAACACGGCGCTCATCATGGCAGCACTTACTCACTCTCAGGCCATGCTATACTTCTGAAAAACAACTAAAAATAGAACGCTATCATTTGGCCTAAAAGATATAGTAATGAGACCTTTAAGAATAAAGCTTCAGAGTACCCCGAGTCGGCGGGAGGAAGAGGGCAGGCAGCCTGTGATCTGGAAGGTGTTCTGTCTTTCCAGGAAGACCCAGCTCCGTCAGGCTGAGGAGCCTGCAGAATGCTGTTCTCAGGACTGTGGGCATTCGACATGCCTTCCCCACGAAGCCCAGCATGTTTAGGTTTTAGGACTGCACAGATCTGCATGAAGATTCCCAGCACAAGTATGAGAGCCGCCGTATGCCAAAATTAAACTGAGCACTTTACATCTGTGAGTTTGCTAATCCTCCATCAAATATTTATTGAGAGTGTATTATGTGCCTGTCACTGTTTACAAATTAGGAAGATGGAAACGGATAGGACAGATGTCTTGAACCACCCTCTCAGGTTTATCACGTAGTATGGAAGAAGATATTAAACAAATATGAGAAGTGTGATGAATATTTTTAAGAAGAGGAGCATATTTCAGCAGCCAAACACAGGGGGCACCCAGCCCAGCCTAGGGGTCAGGGAAGGCTTCCAGATGCAGGGACAGGGATGAAGAGATGTTATGTGGGTGAAGAGTCAGGGGAGGAGACAGCATGCTGGGACTGATTCCCCAGGTCTGCTCCAGACCTGCGGGTCAGATTCCACTGAGCCACTTGGGTTCACAGTCCCAGATAGTAAAGAGAGATCCTAGCTGGTCTTATCATTGTTGCATTTGCCTTTCTTGGGATCACTGGGAAGTGGAGACAAGTAGGTGGGTATAAAAGGAGGGTAAAGCTGTAGTAATTCTTTCTAAACTAGAAGACCCCCCGCAGGTCTTGCCTGATCAAACAGAAAGCATCAGTTGTGTGAGATCCTGGTTTTCTGCTTTTTCTTTCTATTCATCTTCTGTCCCATTTTTACTGCAGGACTGCTAGACACACTAGCTCACACTAGCTAAATGCTTCACATACTGTGCAGTGAGAAAGGAGTAGATACAGAACCACACAGGTGTGTTGTATTTTTATATCCTACAATGAATGCGTGATTGAATGCATCTAGTTCTCATTCCAGTGGATTTTTTTTTTTCAAAAAACACTTTCTGTTGATATGATAAAGTCAGAAGAAGGAGAGCCCATGGTAGATCACTGAAGGGAGAATTACCTGAATGTGGTGGTCACGGAAAAGATTTTGGTGGCTACAGTGGCTCCTGGATGCTGGTTTATTACAGTGTTCCTATTTTAGGGTATGCATCCCCAAAGCTGCAAAAACCAGCCCAGAGTGTGTCCGTCAACTTCCACTGTTAGAGATGAGTTTCACCATGTGGAACACATTGATTAAGGAATGAACTTCATATATACGTACATACCATGTTCATGTACATCATGTATTACATATGAGCTTCTAGATATAGAGAAATTGCTGAAGAATAAGAAAAAACAACTTATACTCAAAGTGGTAAAATTTATTCATAGGTGATTGTAAGCCACATGTATGTATGAATGTATATGTATACATATGTAATATATATGATATGTGTCATATGAGCTGTGTAAGAGCAACACAAATATTAAATTGTTGATTGGGCTCATGTCTATATGTATTGCTACTTGACTACTTGGGGGTGCCCTAGTGATCTGTCTCAACATGGATAGTGATAATAGCTCTTAGGAAATAATTTAATTGCAACCTTGATTTAATTAACATAGTTGTGATAGATGTAATTGGGTTGACAATGACCAAATGAGTAAAATGCCTGAACTGTGATTCTTATGGGATTTAAAATGGAATGTGAAGTCCTCCTGAATGACCAGGTGATGACTTTAAGGCCTCTGCAGAGGCTGTGACATAAGGCTGGGGTCTGCCCTATGACGGTGCCTTAACTCCATATACTGGGGGCAGGGTGGGGCTATGCTGTCCACTTCCACTCAGTCTCTTTATTTTTCTTTTTCATCTTGGAAAACTAAGACTTAATAGTCAATTGGAGTCTTTTTGTTCTTACTGTCCTAAATGGAATTAAAGAATTTTGGAAGTGAAACTCTTTTCCTTTGAAAAAGTCTGTTAACAGATGTAAAGAGAATGTGATTCTTCATCTTGAAAGGGAAGAGGCTGTTTATTCCTGTCTGATGGGTCATTGTAGAGACATAAGTGAGGACTCTGAACTTGAGATGGACAGTTCTGGAAAGGGTCTGATGTAAGGAATTCACTGACAGTGTAGAAACTTTCTATTCAGAAAATTGGATTTCTATTGTAGTGCTCACTGCCTTCAACTGTAATCAGACAGAGCTTCCAGAGATAGAGAAATTGCTGAAGAATAAGGAAAAATAATTTACACTCAAAGCGGTAAAATTTATTCATCCTAAGTAGTTATGAGCTACATGTATGATTTTCTCAGGCATAAAATCCATTATCGCTATGAATTTTTTGCAAAATGAGAACATTTTCTACTATTACATGATTTGCTGCTATAATATCAGAAAATGCAGAAACATTTCTAGTAGTTCTTTTCCAAAACCAGAAACAACAAACACAATGAGAAGCAAACAATAAATTCTAAAAAATGTTTTTGACGTGCTCTTTCAATGTTAATATCCTTAATGTAAAAATAAAAATGTATCTTCCCATAAAAATGGGTTAAGGATGTGAGTGTGAACAGATAATATGCAAATTAATAAATATAAATGAGCAATTAATATTCTAGAATGTTCAAATTCATTGGTAATCAAACAAAATAAAGCATCAGTTTTGAATATCATATTAACAAAAAGTTGTTGAAAATTTAACACTGGGTAGAAACAGGTTTGAAAGAAGAGGCACCCTAATAGGTAGCATATTAGAAATCATTCCAGGCTTTGTATAGGGTGGATCAGCAACATACCTAAAAGCCATCCAAATACATATAACACGGAACATAGTAATTGCAACCATGGGGCCTTTAGTCTAAGAACATTTGCTTATGTGCACAAAGAGTTATCTGAAAGAATGCTAAATTCAATATCATTTATAGTTAGAAATAATATGAATAAAGAAATGGATTTTTAAGTAAAAT